CACACCGAAGACAAAGTTGGTCACGATTAATCCATCTCCCATAGATGTTAAATTGGGAAGTTCATATAAGTTGGTAACTTCATCTCTGATGTTGAGTAGGGTGCAGCCCGATATCCATTCCATTCTGGATTTGGAGAAGGTACGACTTGGGTTGTAGGAAGCATTGACGATACAAAATGTGTAATTTCATTCGATGCCCTTGGTTATTTGTGGTGACCCTATGCGATTAAGTATGTGTTTGTTGTGACTGTTTTTGACCAATTTTGTGTTGATTGTGACTTGAGATTCACTTTGTCACAGACAGTCATACTGAATACAAATTTAGTCACAATTAGTCACACCGAAGACAAATTTGATTACAATTAGTCACGGATGACACGTGTCAGCAAATATGGGTGGTGGTAGGTGGATTCATGGGGTGGGGGTGTGATTTTCAATTTTTAATTTTTTGGAAATTTTTAAGTCTCCGGAGCAGCCGTCGGAAAAGTCGCCGAAATGGTCGCCATAACTGTTACCGGAGCGGCCGATGGTTGTCCGATGGAGAGGTGGTGGGAAGGTAGTGTAATGGGGTGATAGGATGGGGTAGGTGAGGTGGCATGAGTATAAATAATTAATGCATATTAATATTATTAATATTTAATAAATTTATTTACCACCTGATTTTTGAAATATTTTAATGAGTTGTTATTTATGAAATGTAATTTTGAAAGGTAGGAATTATGTATTATTCTCACATTAAACCATAATTAATAAGCCCAATTTATCACTCTCTACTTCATTCCCTCACTCTCGCGCCTCTTCTTTTTTTCCCCTTCAAACCCTGGAAATGGCGATGGAGCTACTACGGCGACACCACACCACAAGCCCCCGTCGTCGTCGGCGCTACGAATTGAGTAGGTAATGGTGCTGGTATGAGGCATAGGCGGTGGGATTCGGTTTTTTTTCTTAGTTTAATTTCTTTGCACAGATTTGTGGTGGTGTTTGACGGTGGTATGGTGGATTTGTGGTGGTAGTCCTTGTGGTGGTGATGGTGGTCCGTGTGGTGGTGGTGGTCGTCGTCGTTTTTGTTCTTGTTGTGGTGGTGTTGTGGAGGGGTCGACGACGATGGTGGTGTTTTTTTTGGTGTTGTGGTGCAGACGGCAATTGTGGTGGTTGTTTTTTGTTATTATTGTGACAGTGGTTGTGATGGGGTGACGATATTGGTAGTGTTGTGCATGCGACGACAGTGGTGTGTTGTTGGTGTTATTGTTGGTGGTGGTTGTGGTGGTGGAGAAGGTGGCAACGACAGGGATGGGACAAAGAGTGTCTGTGATAAACTATTTGGTCGATTTGTGACCAAGTATTGGTAGTGGATTGGGTTCGGGGGACGGGTGTTTGGGTATATGTGACCAACTATTAAACCGTGACATTAAAATTATATAATTTGTAACTAAAAATATAATCTGTGACCAACAAATTTGAAAATATGTGATCGATAGATAAACTGTGATCTATAATTTTTTTTATTTGTGACCAAATAAAATTTTGTGACCTTTAATTTTTTTGATCCGTGACCAATGAAGTAAACTGTGACCTATTCTATTTAAATAATAATTATTTTTAGAGCATGTCTGGGCAGGATTTTCCTTCCAAAAATTGATTTTCTGTCTGTTGAATTCTGACACGCCAGACATAGAAATCAGCAGCAAATCTTCCTTTTTTGACCGTTGCCTTGTTCAACGGTATGAAAAGCACTTTTTTGGTAAATTAAAATCTCGCCCAGACAACCCCTTAATTAATT